ATTTAGCTGAAATTATATTTGTGAAGTTTCCTGTTGTCATGATAGTGGCACAATAAACACAGCTCGTGCTAAATGCTTCACTTCTTATAACAACAGTTCTAACAAGCATAATAGATTTTGCAGTCTTTTAAAAGTAAGTACAGTAGAAGTGGAATTGTTCAAAAAAGATTTTAAAGAGGAATTGGACAGTAAAATGAATCAGTATTTATTTACCAATGATTTAATCTTTGAGTTAGCTTCACTGGACAGGGAAGGCCTTCTTTTGTTTCTCTTGAGACTTTATGTAATAGTCTCTCCCCTTGTCACTCACTTTATCCAGCGCTTCTAGAAATCACTTGTCTGGGTGACGCTGAGAGTGCAGTCTTATAAGAGTGAAATACTTTGGCAAATTGTCCTTATTCTGGAGAGCTGGTTTAAACTTTTTTCCAATGGAAATGGGTCATACCTATCTCACCCAGTGTTTAATGTGAGTCTTACTATACAACTTGAGCAAAGTGTATTATGTGCATAAACTTATGTTTTGCACTCACAATTTTTATGACATAGTGGAAGATTGTTACATTCCAGATTTCATTACAATTTTATTACATTATGCACAGTTATTTGCACAGTTATTTTTTATGGCTTATTACAAATGGTAATGGTCATAGTTAAAAGAAACAAGATTGACTTTCTGGAAACTGGAAACAAACAGTGGTCGTCTGTGTTAAAGCCCATCCATCCACCCCATCCTCCTGCCTATATGAACTTTGTCGCTAAAGAACTATTATACCATTATAAGGAACCTACTGAAGCGTACCTCGCCGAGTAACACACATCACACGTTCTGCCACTACACTCAGTTTGCTGTGGAAATGTGTGTTTTTTTTAGCTTAATTTCCGCACCCCTCAGGAGGTAGTACTAAAATCAAGTACGAGGAATGGCCGGGGGGCATGCCTGCAGAGCAGTCGCTGGTGATTGGCTAAATGTCCGCACATTCACACCTCAAGCATAAACATTACAAGCACCACACAGCTGACTGCATGTGTGTGAGAGAGGAGCAGCCCCTCCCTTCTTTAAACAGAGACCGACAGAGAAAGTACAGTGAAAAAACAAAGCAGGACAGTCTGCGTCAACCCCAGAGGCTATGTTGGTGATGGTTAAGGGAAGTACGGGTTAGACCGCTTGTTAGGTTCCACTGCACTATATACTGGTGGGTCTTACACAAACTAGCGGTTGCTTAACAATAAACATGTACTGTATATGAGTTGTAATAAACTACTTATGCCAGTGTTTTTATATAGAATAGTTTTGGTTTTTCAAGTGTGGTGTGGCAAGCAAAAGCACAGGGCTTTAGAAAGGAGCTGCCCTGCTGTAAGTCTATTAACCATGAGTGTCCATCTACTTCTGAAAGCTAAAAAAAGAGAAACGGGCAGTTTACAGTTCCATTTATACTGTAGGTATGCAAAGGATGCAGCTGTGAGGTTCATCATAACTTAACTACAGGGTGGAGAAACATACTGCAACTCTCTCCCAGTAAAATCAAAAGCTGACAAAAGGACGCTCAGGTTGTTTGTGTGCTCTTTCTTTGAGAGCTAATATTCACCTCACATTAGAGGTCTCCTTCACTGTTTACATGCCAAAATTTCATGTCTGTTTACTGAGTCTGTATTGAATTGACAGGATGTTAGCTTTCAATATTCTCCTCCTTCTCTTAGTCAGTGGTGTAATATGCACTTGCACAGTGAGTGACAGTCTGCCACCTGAGCTGCAGCACTACTCATGCTCCCTTGTGGCTGATCGGATTAAAGATGGACTGAGTCAGGAGGTTTTTCTGGATATTTAGAGCCTGGCACCTTCTGAAGCCTATACAATGAGGACATACTGTGTTATACTTAGTATTAATGTATTGAATAATTACTACTATATGGACAAAGGTTTCAAGCTGTTAGAAGTCTGAGCCATGATAATATGACACTAGGTCTATATCTGTGTGACTCAATCTTCATTACTGAATGTTATGTTGATCATGGCACCAAAAAAAGAAACAAAAAAAAAGAGAAGAAGGTCAAAAAGAAAGGCTTAATTACCTCTCACAAGGCTGCTGAAGTTAATTTCTGTAGTCACGTGTCTAACCAATGACTCAGAGTGTAATGAAGTGGAACACGGTTCACCAGGGTTCACAGGACACCCTGCATCCTCTTTTTTTTATCAGCCTGGTTTGGCTATTCCAGAGTGGGAAACTAATCATCACTTAACACTAAACCAGGCAATATTTCACTCTGGATACATGCATTTATCTGTGTCAATATTCATTCCTTGTTTAATCATTTCTCCACAGCTATCTCAATATCACGACCTAGTAAGAGAGGCCCGGGGGGTGTGTGTGTGTGGGGGGCATTAATTCTGCTAAGGTGTTACAAGATGTTACAGTATTAGGGATTATCCCTGACAGTTTCCCTTCTAGGCACCATTAGCCTGGCCTCATCCCATTTGGTATTTCCAACACCTGCGACCACCATCCGCTGGGCACAAGAATTATTACCATTGTATTTTTCCTTGGGTCTATAAATTAATCATGGGGATCACAAACAACTACTTTAAATTTCTGAACTGTGACCAAGAAACACAATCTCCCCAAGGATGCTGAGGACCTATGCATCTTTACAACAGAGTTTTGCAATCTGACAGGATCACAGCGCCAGCTTCCTCACTTATACCTTACAGGACTGTGGTCTCTGCATTTCCACACTATGCATAATGGCTGCTCTCTATGGCTAAATGTACCCAGGGTCCTTGAGTCTGACTTAGAATGCTAAACAAACAGGGACTTATGTGTGAGTGGACGAAATCAAGTTGATCAGCTTGAAAGTGAAAGTGGACAGATGACTACAACAAACATAAATTAACATTGATCACTGGGCCGAGCATGTCAAGGCTGCAGGGGCTGGTTAGACAGCCTCTGCAATAGATTGTGATGGTTCCTGTATCCTCACAGTCCACTAGATACCAATGGCTGCAAGTCCTCATTAAGCATCCTTGCAGTGGCAAAGTGATGTCTTCAATTAATCACTGAATCGGTGGGTATTAATGTAGATATAATGGTGATACCTAGAAATTATACATCAAATAATGCAGCTAGATTCACTAATCATGCTATGGTGAGGAATAAATGCTGATTGTTACAAGCTTTCACAATTGCTGAAACTCAAACTCAAGCTCAAAGTGGCATAAACATAATTATAATAGATTTATAAATCACAGTGGCATTTTCAAGATAAGATTTTCATTTGAGTCTGATCTGACATGTTCTGAGTTTCTCTGCTCATATGGCACTTGACAAGTGCATGTGAATTTTAAAGCATATTGATTTAGAATGACTTACAGGTGCTGGCCTATAACATTATTGATTGCAGATAAGCATTTTGACAAAGTGTCTGGAAAACATTTCACATTGATTTAAAGTTTCTCAGATCCCTAAGTAAAAGCCTTGCAGCTAAGTGTAATTACCATATGCAGCATTGTGTCATTCATTTAGCACCTATTCATCCAGCATTTAAATCAACATGTAAAACTACCTTTGACTTATAAGACACCAGCAGTTTACTGAAAGAAGAGAGCTTCCCCTCTCAGAGGCCTGAGTAGGTCAAAAGAATTCAGCTTCTGTTGGTAGAAGGATAAAGTTTCTCCATTTGGTTTTCTCCAGTACAGGCAAATATATCAACCCAGTGAGTCTTGTAAGATAAGACATCAACCAAATCTTCCATTATTGATCAGGCCTTCCATATTTGATTGAGACTCCTGGCAAGACTGTGGGTGGGATGGCAAACAAAAGGCAGAAGGTTAAAAAAAGTGAAAACTAAATCAATAATGATGACTGACAAGATGAAACTTGGATGATCAGCATTGTGCCCTCTTAGAATGAATAATGGAAGGCAGAATAAATCTGCTTCACACCCATCTTACATCCTTCTGTCTGCAATTACAACTTACTACAGGAAATGATAAAAGCTGTTCATTTGGGTGATTTCATTAGAGCTCCTAGAAGTCTGCATGTATGAAAACAGTTTTACATTTAATTATCATTATGTTTTATACAAATTCTCAAATTGCAAGACTTTTGTCAGTCATGCTATATCTACTGTGTATATTTTATCTGCATTAGATAGCAGGGGTGCAGCAGTTCTGTATGTACATTTAGGTTTTGGGAGGGAATTGAGACAAAAATACCATTTGAGGTGAAATGGACAAGTGCATACTGGGATTCTGAAAACAGCTGGAATCAGTTCCTGTACTGATGTGGCTACTTATCAAAACAGTCAGCAGCTGCAGCAACAGGATTTGCAATGTGTTGCCCACAACACATACAAGTAATACCCCCCTACCCCATCACTGGGGTGATGTCACAAAGATAAACTCACTTTAATAGGCTATGTGGAGGTTTTACACACATAAAACCTCCATGGTACTTGTAATGTTATTTGAGAAGGTTGGTTAAATAATAAAAGCCTAATTTGTTTTATTTCTGTACCAGTGGCAATAGATCCTGGCATCACTACCAGTGGAATGAGCAGTTTGGCCACAGAAGGCTTATTTTTTCAGCTTCAGTTGTTTGTCTGAATGCATTCATCCTTGTCCCTGCATTCCCTGAGTATGATATATAGGTATGTTTAATAAATCACACATTTTGCTAGAGTAAATATGTTGAACCAACAGCTCTTAGAAAGCATAACGATACATTTTTTTCTCCTCTGTTGCTGCTGCTTTTTTGCTTGACTTGCTCCTGGGAGATAGTGTGACATCAGTATGTATACACTAAATATCAGCTCCACAGTATTAGCTGCTAGCTGGCCCTTCGGCATGGGATGTTGGCTCTGCTTATTTGGTTGAATGAATTATTAATGGCTCACTGATTTTTCATAAGTTCCAGTCAGTTTTCTTTTTTCAGTAGGCTTCATGTAGACTGCACCTTCGCTTCTCCGCTGTGCTTATTTTTTCAACGGCTTATTTTCTCCCACAGCCAAACGGAGGAGCATTTGCCCAGGAAATATTCTCCTCTCTGGCAACTGGATGAGAAGAAGGAGAATCTTTGACCTTGGAAAATGAAGATGTTGTTGCCATGGGAACTGTTAATCCTTCTGTCACTCAGAGAGTGCCTAGCTGGTGAGATGCCAAGTCAAGTCGCTTTTCATGACACACCTGATATGTGTACATCTCTCACAGGGAGGGTTTGCCTCTGTCTCACACTTGTTTAGGTTATCACTTAATTTGAAAGAAAATGATAGCAGATGCAGAGGTGATTTTCATTTAAGTAGCTTTTTTATGTGGGCACAAACTATGGCCGATTTGTAAAATTAGTGCAAAACATGGCCAAATCTGAAGACTTCTGTCAGGTTTTAGGGTCTCGGCTCAGCATTTCAGGGAGAATAAGAACATCAAATCCAGATGTTAGAATTTATTCTTGTTATGTTATGTTGTTATCTGTTATGTTCATGGATGATGTTGTCTCTCAAGATAAAATTAAACAGTTTTATGCTGTTCTAAAGATTTACCATTATATTCACATTTTAATTCAAATTAACTGCAACTATAGTTAAAAAAAAATTTTCAGAACGCCTGACTAAATGTGCATCGATGTTAAATTTACATCTGAAAAGCGACTAGTGTATTTGAAAAAATTAATGTTCTCTTGCCTGTTCATGTATCGTTGTTTTATTATGCAATTGTCTTTGTTTATGTTCAACTGCTGCCACTTACATGAAATGTAGCAAGCATTATAAAAATCCACAATAATTCTTTTTTTAAATACTACAGTAACATATTCTGTACTCCATCCTCAGAAAGAAAGATCCGTGGCATGTGCTTTTCACTGAGAGAAAAGCAGAATAGCATTCACCGTATCCACACATTGTTTGTGGATAAGGTGACCTGTGTAGCCTAGACAACCAAGGGAAATTTAACATTGACAGTCACATTTGATGGATATACTGAATACTGAACTCAAGTCAGACATTTACAAGTCATCAAGCAAACACATTTAACTTTATACAACATATGGACTGGGGTCTGTTGTGTTGTTATTTATGTTTTCATTTCTTTTGACTTAGCATTTCATCTTAGGACAGCAGTCTCACTGAGTCATACCTATGCAGACTGTAAACAGAAGAATAGAAGGGTTTGCACGTGGCTGCACTTCACATGCATAAACCCACTTGTATGCATCAAATTTGTATGCATCCCCATAAAGCATAATTAAGTGTTAGTGTGCTAGTGGTCAGCCCAGTTGGTGTGTTTACAGTGCAGCATACACACGAACCAGCAGATTATTTCCCAGGTGAAAAAGCCCAGCTGTTAAAGGTTCATTAATTTGTTTAATTTAAAGGACATTGCAAACTGGGTAAAAATGAAGCACTTCCCTCAGAGGCTGGGGAAACAAGGCCCTTACCTGAGGCAAAAACTTTAACTCTCATTAGGATGATGATGACGGCAAGGGAGGGAGCACTTTATGTCCTAGTCAAGGTTAGAGATGTAAAAAAAAACATCCTGTCAAGTGCACAAAAAGAAAAAGGAACAATTTTTAAGAGCAACACTGGTGTGCAGCCCGACGTATGACATAGCGTCAGAGGAATGAGTGGGAGGACACCAGTGTGTATGTCTGTGTGTGAGTGGAGTGTGGATCTATTGAAGAAATGTTAGATTTCATGGGAGTAATTAGTGCAACACTGGTTAATTACTCCTGTGTATTGATAGTCTGGCTGGAGCTAACCGAAACAACAAGCTCGACTGAGCAGACACACATGCCTGAGCAACATGCATATTGACAACAGGCTCTCTAATGATTACATTATAACCATGGTAAGCTGATACTCTGATTATAGCCACTCTTATGTAAACACCTTAACCAAGTTATCCTACTTGTATTAGGTTCATAATGAAGAAATAACATAAATAAATCAGCCAGCTGGAATGCTTGTCAATCTGGCTAATTACTGGTAGTACAGCTTAGACTGGTTTGTGTCTGCGTATTGAGTCTGTGCATGCACATGAAACTTCTCAGTGAACCAGATGTAAAGTGTGGGTTTAAATGAAGAGTGGTAGATACAGTCCTCAGTGAAATTGTTTTTGTAAACTGATCATTTTTGGAAAAGCTCATCATACAGCAATAATAATTTAGGCATAAGACTGAATGAACAGTACAACAGTAGTGATTACAGCTGTTTAATTTTCTGTTTTTTGTAACACTTCCAGGTTACAACATTTAAAAAAGATAAAAATTTTGGGAAATTTGTTTCTGTAAACTCTGTATACTTGAACTGAACTCTCTCCCACTGATGAAATTACTTCTGTGCATTAAGTGGTCTGACTATGAATGAAGGTGGGAAAATAAAAGATAGCTTCATGAATTGTGTTGTAGATTACATACGATATACCAGTTAGCCAGGATGCTACAGGATTATCTTTAGTTAATTGCTATCTCATCACAGTACATTATCCACCTTGTGACATGTGCACAAGAGGGTTTATTAAATGCAGTTGGCAGCTAATTATATGGGTGTAGAGTTTATACTCAGTTGAGTGATTTATTTTTGCATTAATTCTCTGTCATTTCCTTTGTGCGAGTGTTCAGCAGATGTGTTTTTTCAACAGAAAACACACGGCACGGTCCTGTCTTCACACAGGAGCCCAGCGACAGTATTTTCCCACTGAGAACAGATGATAATCAGGTGTTTATTAATTGCAAAGCAAAAGGAAATCCTCTTCCACATTATAGGTAAGTGTTCTGACTGCTCTTTGGCTTTCTACAAGAGGGACTACAGTGTGTGGCATCAGTGAATGCTCCTCTAAGCTGATTATCATACCAGCCTCTGTTACTATGTTGGCTACAGTTTTAACTGAGTGTTTAACTGTGTCATTCATTATGAAGTTTTTCTTAGGGAATGCTTTCTGATTCTTTTCAAATTGTTCACTTTTATTTTGTGATTTATTGTATCTACAGGTGGAAGATGGATGGCAGAGAAATAAACACAGCGTCAGATCAAAACTACAGCCTTGTAGAGGGGAACCTGTTAATCAATAATCCTCATGTTATCAACCATTCAGGAGTCTATCAGTGCATTGCCACCAACACATTTGGGACCATTGTTAGCAGGGAGGCTCAAGTCCAGTTTGCATGTGAGTCCTACATTGATTTTTCATTTTTCAAATTGTTACCTCTGCAGTGGCGGAACAACGTAGCACCGGGCCCAAGTGCATACTATACTACCGGGCCCGCATCCCATAATTCAGTTCCTATAAAAAAAAACAATCAATTGCTTGTAAAAACAACAGACTACCAACCATCTTCCATTGTATAGCCTCACTATAATCAATTAGAAAATAGCACATACTCACACAAGAAAAAAATGAACATCAATCAAACAAAAGGCTATCGACACTGTAGCAAAAGCAAAATATAACATAGTCATACAACAGCTAGATAACACCAAAACAAGTGCAGTCCAACAACTATTAACACTATATGCTAATTCACACCGTCTAATGTTAATAAGACACACACAAAAACTGTGTTGCTATATTGTAACTTGCAATCAGTTATGTTCCTTGGTATAGCCTCCCTTGAATCTATAAGAAAATAGCACAATATTCATGCAAACAAAAATAAGCAACACAGAAAGGTTGCAGACACTGCCATTGACATGAACAGACAAGTAGTCAACAGTAGAGTGAAAACTGGCGTATTACATATATACGTGTAGCTGTACAAGCAAAATAAATATCATTGTGAGTGCATGAACAATTACATTTCACCCCAGCGTCTGTACATTTTTTAACAATACCGAATGTAGACACACACAAAACTGTGTTGCTACATCATTGTTACTTGTATCTCATCAGCAGCTAGAAAATAATGACTGTACTCAACTATTTGAAAGACATTCTGCTGGCCTTGTTCTATGCAAAATTTCCCATGCTCTGCCTTGTTCAAATATCTTGGCTTTATAATTTTCAGATGTGGAAAAGTCTATTCTATGGCTCTGTGGTAATGAAAGATGATTGCTGTGCTGCCACCCAGGGCACCCTCTGTTTTTTTTTTTTTTTTTTTTTTTTTTTATAGCTAATGTTAGCTCATTTTTGCTTGCAGTTGCTGACAGTAATGCAGAATAAACCAAAAAAGAATCTAGTTTCTTAAAGTTCCACTCCAGGAGCATTTTAATACTTATATTTGCATATAAAATTCTCAGCTATTAACAATACATGGTCTAACACATTTATTTCCTTTAAAAAGGTCCAGTGAACCTCTGTAATAGGCCTCAACAGTTGCCCCTCATTGTGCATTCCAGGATCTATGAATATACAAATATATGCAAATGTGCCCACCTCACCCACCAACCCAACACCTCCACCGCCACTTCCCCCGACATAGACCGGTGAACTTGCAGTATCAGAATGGGATGTAGAAGGGAAAACTGAAAATCCTGTAGCAGTTTATGTTTGAGCCTCATACACCCATTACATAGCGGTACTGTGTAAAAGAGATATAAGTCAGATGTGTTTACAGTCTGGCTGAGAGTTTGACACCATGTCTTTATTTTTTTTAATTTTCTCAGTTGATCTAACATGTAATCTATCAGGGAGACTGGATTATTAGCAGAACGCTGTTTGCACGCAGTTCGACTACTAATAGTGTACGTTAGTGAGCCAAACTTGGTGTTTTATATTGCTGTTGATACTACAGTGTGTCTACTACATCCCATAATGTTTGATAGTATATCAGTATCTTTTTATTTTCTCACATGAACCAAAACATAATCTAGTAAAATTACCAGAGAACTGAACACTTGCCGTGCTGTATTAGCGTCAGCCAAACATAACTGTTAATATTACCTTCCAACACAACACGTCTACTACATCTCATACCATCTCATAATGTTAAAAAATATGTCAGTATTTCTTTATTAAGTCAGCTGATCCAAAATGTAGCATCAATCTAACATTAGTAGGGTGCTAGGAGGGTGCATTTGATTTAGGTAACTTTGTATAATCTGTGGGTGGCACCGATCCAGCACCTATGAGAAGGTAAAATGGCAATAACCTTAATGGAAGCATATAATTAGTCCCTCAGCTGATTTAGTGTTGCTGTACATGGTTGGTTTACATTGTTTGAACATTCACATTGTCCTCAGAGCCTGCCTGAGCCTCCAGATGATGCGGGCACAGGCGCAGCCGCATCACTTGCACCCCCTAATGCTCTGCTACTATACCTCTGCCAAGATTTGAGGTTATGTTTTTGTCCGTGTTTGTTTGTGTGTGTGTTTGTTTGTTAACGGCATAACTCAAAGAGTAATTAATACATTTTAAAAAGTTTTTTTGGAGACGTAGAGTATGGGCCATGGAAAAATTGGTGCTGATCTGTATCATGATTTGTATATAGGAATATTTTAAAAGATTATTCACCATTATTCAGTGCTGCAAAGGCTGCTGACTATATGTGAACCCCGCTTGTGGCCAATGTGCACGGCTGCACCGCTGAGCACTTATGGAGAAAAATCCCTGAGTTAGTGACAGCTGCCCATTTGCTGTCAATGGAAACCAAGTGATGTCATACAGTGCACCCTGCTCTTCGAGGCAGGAGCTGAAGGAGTCCAGTGGGGCGACAACCCACAGCTGTTAAGGTTTAGACCCTCCTCACCAGGAGGATGAGGGAGAACTGAGATAGGACTCGAAATTGCTGACCCAGGTGCTAGTAAAAAGCAAAGTAGGGCAGAGATGGTGGAGGAGACCAGGACGAACGCATGAGTAGAGCAGACTAATGGTTGGAACCAGGAGAGTAGGAGGATCAGGACGGACAGGTGAATAAACAAACTAACCAGGAGGATTGGTGAACAAAAAAAGGAAATCCACAGCACAGGAACTGTCAGCGTGGATATCAAAATTAACGTCTAGCTAACCAAATTGAAAAAACATAAAGAGATCCACAGCACAAGAACTGTCAGCGTGGACGTCTAGAGACGTATAACATAAAATATATAACCTACGTACAAAATGCGATCCACAGCACAGGAACTGTCAGTGTGGAAAACAAAATGACTTACAATACATACCACGAATATAGTTCTGTTACGGAGTATGCAACGATGGAGGGTCTGCCAGAGGTATAAATAAGGAGGAAGGTAATCATCGGGATGCACCCCAGCTGTGCACACCGACAAACGAGTCGCTAATTACTGAATGCAACACAGCTGAGGTGCAGATCCCGCAGGTTGAGAGAGCAGGGGAGAGAAAGGCGGAAGAGAGGCAGGTCGCGTCGAGCGGACCTGACAACAGCTGGGGAAAGATCTGCTCTATGCAGTGACAGCCAGGCGAGAGCTGATCAGGATTATCTTTATCCCAGCCAGTAAAGTCATAGATTTTGAGCCAGGCTCAAAGCTGTTATAATTTTCATCCATAGGGCTGAAATTATACCACTTTATTAAGTTTTGGCATCTTTTCAGGCAACCAAGTAAACACTTAGATTGAGAATAGATTTTAATGACTTTCGTCCTGTTGTTCTGACATCTGTACTGGTGAAATGTATGGAGAGGGTGGTTAGTAAACATCTTACTTCAGCTATAGCAGATCATCTGGACCCTCTACAGTTTGCATATAAGACACACAGGGGTACAGAGGATGCAGCTCTAACTTTGGGTAATATGGTTACAAGTCTGCTACAGTGAACAAACACTTATGCACTGATCTTGTTTTTTGATCTGATCTTCAACACAGTGAGGACACACATCTTGCTCCAACAGCTATTGAAAATGGATGTGACTGGGAAACTGATTTACTGGATCAGAGACATTTTTAGCTGATCATCCACAGAAAGTCTGTTTCAATGGTGTGACTTGAGATGAAATTACAACTAACACTAGGGCACCCCAGGGATGTATTTTATTGCCTTACTTTTTTGTGCGTGTATTAATGATATGCAACTGCAGGACAATAGTGTCAAATTTCTAAAATATGCTGATAACATGGTTATGCTTGGACTTTTTTTTCTTAATAAAAATTATGACTACTTTGCCCAGGTACATAAAGTGGTGGAATGGTGTAATAATTGTTCTTTGTTGATTAATGTGGAACTTATTTTAAACAATACAGGCCCCACAACAAAAATTCTACTTTGAAATCAGGCTGTGGAAATGGTTGATGTTTTTAATTGGATCCCATTTAATTATTTATATGAAATAGGCATGTGCAGGAAAGCTCAATGTATTGCGGCCGATCCAAAACACCCTCTGTATTCAGAGATTGAATTGATGCTTTCAGGATGACAAGGGTACCTTTAGCAAGTAAAAAGATATATAAAGGTTCATTTATACCAAAAGCAGTACCCTACTGAGGAAGTAACTGCAGAAACAAAGAAAAAAAAAAACAAAACCCCAAGACAAAAACCACTGGGCCCACAAACAAGAGTCCAAAAACAGGCAGGAGACCAGAGAGGCCGCTCGGGAGGACGACCTTGGGACCAGGCAAGAGACCGGAGAGGCCATTCGGGAGGATGACCTCGGCGCCGGACAGAGAACCTGGGGGGTGGCCTCAGGGGCAGAACCACCAGACTGGACTGCAACTTAAGTGATCCCATCCCCAATGTTAACAGGAAGAGACTCGGTGGGGGCATTGGCGCTGTCGACGAACCCCTCTGGAACTGGGAGAAGGGGGTCACCATCCCTGTCTGCGAACCTCTCGGGAGCTAGGAGAAGGGGGGGCGCCGTCACTGTCAGCAAACCCCTCTGGAACTGGGAGAAGTGGGGGTTCATCAACCGTCTTCGTCAAGGAAATCCTCTGGGGGAAGGACTGAGGCGACGTAGCAGCTGTCGACCCACCGAGGAACAGGAACAGCAGCAGCATCGATGGCATTGTCGGTGCACCCCTCAGGAGAAAGGGCAGAGGTGGTGTCGAGGCTGTCGACCCACCAGGGACCAGGAACAGGCTCAAAGGCGGCATCAGTGCACTGGCCGACCTGCTCGGGAACAGGAAGAAGGAGGGCGCTGTCACTGTTGGCGAACCCCTGAAGAGCTGGGAGCAGGGGAACGGAGAGGGCTTTGGCGGTCCAGCCAAGCCCCACGGGACCAGAAGCAACCACATCTGTTGGCTTGGACTGCTGGCTGTGGAGGCAGCTGCTGCCGGGGCGCTGGCTGTGGAGGCAGGTGCAAACAATCAGGAGCAGGTGAAAACTATTGCTGATTAAAGTAAAAAGTCCAAAACTGAGGTGAAACAAAAACAGGAAGTAATATCAAAATAAAAGCACGAGAATGGAAACATGTGGGACAGAATCATGACAGTCAAGTGCCCTGAGATGATTATTGTTGTGAATTGGCAATAGACAAATTGAATTGAACTGAATTGAATTGAACTGAAATAACATAAATAAAAATCTACATCATTCCAAATGCTAGCAGTAGGTTGTCATAGAGAGTATGAGGGGCAAATTATCATGTGAGTATTGCATTTATAGCAATATAGGGAAACCAAGTTGCTCTTGGCAGAGGGTGTCTAATTACAGACATGAAATTGCATGTTTGATTTGTTGTAATATTATCTGCAGCTGAGTTTATAATGTTTTTTAAATAGTGTAAAATGTCCATCACATGTTCCCAGATATCATATTTTGCCAGATCATGTCTAAAATCTAAAGATATTCATTTTAATGTAACAGAACATTCACATTTTAAATGCTATTTTTTGTTTTAAAAATACCTAATAATTTATAATTTATTATAATTAAACCTGTTAAACTACATGTTGTGTGTAGAAGGAATGTTAATTACTGTTGTTATTGTGGCTTTATCTATCATCGGGAATAGGTCAGTTCATCCATAAGAGTAGCAATTCAATATATTAACATCATGCAGCATGCCAGCATGCTGGGACAGTAAATGTCAACTTAAGTTTATGATTGATGGTTTATTTAATTTTGTCTGGACATACAAACTGTAAGTTTGAAAACATGTTAGCAGTTAACAGACTGAATTCCCTAAATCAAACCAGATTGCTAGGCTAAACATCAAACACATTTTCTTGTGTCTAAAACTTGAAAAAACTACATGCTCAACCCAAATTTCAAAATTAAAAACTGTCTTTAACATTGCACTTATGAACACTATAACAGACCAGAAGAGTGGCCTCACAATGACGTCCATAATTAATCTCTCAATTTAATTTAGAGAAGACTGTGACTAGACCTCTTCATCCTAGTAGTAGGACTAAGTCTTGATTTGTACATTTATAATCAGTAAAGTTCTGATTTGAACACCGCTGATATTTGCTTGATCCCTCCTGGGACTCGGTTGATATTTCTAAGACTTGGGGATACGTCTTCCTGCTGTTTAGTCTCACACAGCACAACACAGCACAGCAGCATTTAATTAAAGGTGAAAGTAATCTCTCCAGTTTGATTGGTGAGGGGCATTGTGGTGCACTCCCTCCCCGATCTTGCTATGATATTATCAGGGGAACCTCGGCTTTGACTTGCAAGCAATGTAAACAGACAGGGAAATATGCTGCAGAGTGAAATGCCCTTGCCTGGATGTCACCTCTAGGTAAAAGTTATTACAACTTTCAAATTCTGAAAAGTTGCTGGTTATTTCTTTTACATCCAACAGTTTTGCAGAACTTCAGCGGAAAGTCAAGGAATATGGTGTCGGTGAGAGAGGGTCAAGCTGTGGTTCTGCTCTGTGGCCCTCCACCCCATTATGGAGGTAAAACGCTCTCTCCTAACTCTTCTGCATTGTCTGCTGTAGTTTCACATTCCCGCTTGTCTCAGCAGTCTTCATTGTTCCTTACTCTGCGGCTTATTATCTCCCTGTAACACTGCTGTGTCTTTTTTGTTTTTCTACCTTCCCACTTTCTCTTAATGTTGCTCTTGTTTTTGAACTCTGACGCACTGTTTTCCACTCACTCCTGCTTATCTGTCAGGCTGTGATCTTTTTCTCATCAGCCGCCGCTCTACGTACCCAGGCCCATCCCTTCACATTGCTAGTTCATAGCCTCACACTTCTTAACCTTGAGCTCACTTGTCTCGCCCATATGATCTGTGTCCATGCTGTCATCCCTGAAGTCTCCAGTGCTCCACATCCACAACTGTCTTTTTTTCCTTCCTCCTTGATGCTTGTAGGTTATCTGTTGGTAATAAAGGCTTCTGGTGGCTGCCGTGGCCGGGGGAACTTTTGTCCCATGGCACAGCTGTGAGCCGGCACATGTCTGTGTGCTGCTGATTAGCAGACCCTCAAAGTGGTCCATGCTCCTGCAGCCATTCGGTGCCCACCAGCACAATTTCACGCCAGTGTACCATATTCTCTCCGCTCTCTGTTTCCAGCTGAAATCTGCAGCCATGTGGGATTCCACACTTCAGCTATTTGCCCTCCAGTCTTCCCTCCCTCCTTCTTTAAAAGCCTACATCTCTTTATTTTTCCTCTTTAACAGAGAATAGACACACATTTAACAGGATTTGCACTGCACAATATTGCCAGCTTGAGGGTTTAAAACTGAAAAATGGTACAAAATGTTTTCCTTTTAGTAACCACAAGGTGTCAATTTGTCATTGCTTGTTGATGCACCACTTGAGGAATACAGTGATGCAACTTATTAAAAGAGGAATCATCTGACGCTTGTTTGAGCAATCAATAGGCAAGTGGTCTAAAAGGAATCGTGCTGAGAGTTAAACCCTGTCAGAGGACATGAGATTATGTGCCTGCAAGTCCTCTGTTGCTGTGGGACTGAAGCTCTTAAACAGACCTAGTCTCTGATAGTTCCTAATCATGAAAGGTCTGACAGTGTCTGCCCTGACTTTCCCTGTAATGATTTTAATTCACTGTTTTCCCTCAAGGAAGTGAGCGGGACTTCTTACCATCTGCCCAGTCAAAAGGGCTGTCTGCAAAGTGTCATGTGTCTGATACAGGAGGGTTCCACTAATAGTTTGCATGCCTGTCTGTCGATCTGTGTGTCTGTGTGTGTGTTGTACAGTAGAATTCATATTCCTTTCTATTGTCTATTATGAAATGAATCCTCCTTGTTAGAGTGAAATGAATGACAAGAGTTGGAGCTGAACTGAAATAGATATTTCCTGTAAAAATCTATATAGACTTATATAGGAACTAATAAGTAAATGTGTTATCTGCTTGATTGTGCTGTAAAGCTGGCCATGGTGCATGCTCAGAAGACAAGGCAGAAGTTATTTTCTATTTTCTGTGCTCTAAGTCCCATGAAAAGACCATAACCAATACTATCAAACTGGGCATTAAGACCAAAAACAGCCCTGTATAAAAAATAAAAAAAAAGTGCAAGCGGCTGCCTTGGAAGTTGTTTCATGTACCAGTGAGACAGTAAAACATAATCCAGCACAGCAGCTTTGAATAATAGATTTGTGAGTTTGAAGGGATATAAGATGCCAAAACACTGTACAGCAGTTTCTAATACAACAAGAGCCTGTAAAGTTATCATGGTGACAATCATTTTATTCCCTATTGAGAAGCTGTCGAAGTAAACAGCAGAACCTTACAGAGTCATTTACTAGGAATACACTGTTACAGATATTTGATTGTCTGGAGATATTGAGGCGCAAAAGTTGAACCAGGTTTAACAATATGAGAACATCCTGCATTCTTTTGCCAGGGAGCCCTGTGTTTGAACCCCCGCTGAGCTGACACAGCAGTCCATCTCAAAGGGTTGGGGGGGCTGCCTTATATCATACAGCACTGTTGTCTGTCTGAACTCGACGTTAGACCTGCTCTAAATACTTTCCAACCTCCCTGCCCTGTCTGTGGGACTCAAGCCAGTTGAAGCGTATTGAGTAGTCCTATTTTAAAAAATTGATCACAAATATATACAGTATGTTCTTTTGTTAAGTGGGCACTGTATTTTTTTTCCAAACAAAAGCAAGTAATTATTCAAGACTATTTTCAGATGTGAACTAATATACATTTTGTGGTGTCATTAGAATTTACAGCAGCTCAGCGTAGCTGGGATTGACTCAGAATAAACTATGGCCATGGTAAATGAAGATCAACACTGGAAGTTCAGGAGCAGGACCACAACCCTCTTCTTTCCTACTGTTTGTCCTGCTTCCTATGGGGGACCATGCTCGAGTGCTGCACAGATTCCCCGGAAGCCTTTCCCCAAAACGTTCAGTCACCAAATGACATCTGCACAAACTTCCACGTAGGCGTGGTCCTGACTAGTGAATCTCATTTTCTACTTCAAGCAACTGGTTTAAAAGAAATATTCACTAAGCCGGGGGTATGTCTTCAATGTGGTGATCACAGAAACACAAAGATAATAAGAACAAATTAGATCCAGACGATCCTGGCATTTTAAGGGTATTTCATACTAAGAAAGCAACTTTGTTATTGTTAAATATAACAAATAATAAAGACAGAACAAACATGTCACCAAGTGCAACAGTGTGGCTCATTTATGTTTTAAATAATCGTTCTCTTATTGTTTGGTTCAGACCAGGTAAATATCAGTGAAATCATTTTAATTCATTTCTGTAGTAAATACCCCTGTAGTAAAGTGATTTCTCCTGCCCTCTGATAGTGAAAATGTGGCATCTCATCAGATATAATTTGGGGTGACAAGGGCTGCCTGACCATTAGCTTGTGGCCTTTGTGAGTATGGAGGCAAAACCTTACAGTCAAACCTTAGTGATTTGGTTAAAACCCTGTTCACAAAACCTGGCACAGTACAGTAACAGAGCTTAGGGCACTCTAACCGTCATTTCACTACACAGGCTATACTTTGTTGGATCAGATGGCTGGCACTTGTCTTTTCATGGGATTTGTTGGTAAAATGAAGAATATAGCTTATCAGCAACCTTGTCCTTTGAGGTTATTTATGTCCATATTTCTGACAAATAAGTAGAATATCTCCTAGTTTATTTGTAAAAAATATCTTTTTTCTACACGTGTAATACAAGCCTCACAGTCCTGGTCATTTTGAGAATGTCACTGGAAAGCATATCTCAGTAGCTGCCATTCATGACCTTTTTTTTTTTTCCAGAAATCAAATATTCATGGGTTTTCAATGGACAGCGCAAGTTCCTACAACAGGATGCCCGTCGTTTCATCTCCCAGAGGACAGGCAACTTGTACATAGCCAAAATTGAGGCCTCAGACGCAGGAAACTACACGTGTGTGGTGAGAAACATAATGACCAATGCCACCGTGTTCAGCTCTCCGACCCCTGTGGTCGTGCGGAGAGATGGTAAGCATTTTTGGTTCGCCTCCGCTGCCTCCTGGTTCTCTTGCACATTGAACTGACGTGCTGTCAGAGCAAGGGCGTGCCTAGGAGATAAATTGCTTGTCCTGAACATGACATTGTTTTTGCTTTTGCTTACGAGCAAGGTTTTTGCACCATCTAAAACCTTTGAACTTAACAGGGTTATGTACTGCACAGTATGAGAGAAACCCTCTCTAAACACATGAAGGCAGATATTTACATACTCAGAAATGTAGTCTGCACTGACAAAAATGCATGCAGACACACACAGCAAGGAGCTCCTCACACACACTACACCCCATCAGGACCTTTTATACTATATGTGCCACTTCAGATGTGAGCTGAGGCAGATAAGTAATCCAAACACAGCTTCTGCTGAGCCAAACGCTGTTGTCAACATGCATGCTCATTCTCTAACACTGTCATTCATGCCATGAATTAAAGAGGACTGCATATTTTGTGTTTTGACTGATGTGTTTTGCTTTCCTGCAGTAGTGATGGGTGAATATGAACCAAAGATCGAGGTTCAATTTCCTGACACCCTTCACATCTCTAAAGGATCATCAGTGAAGCTGGAGTGCTTTGCCTTAGGAAAGTAAGTGTCAGACACTGTAGCACGGTGCACCTCTACCCCTCACACTACACTATAACATTTGTAAAGTGCCAGACAGCCTGCATTGCAACAAACAAGCTGACAAACAAACATGGCAGCACTCCTTGCTGGTAGGAGCAGGAACCAGCATGACATTTGTATGTGACCTCTGCAGCCCGGTGCCTTCCATCTCATGGAGAAGAGCTGATGGAAATCCACTCCCTGGCAAGATCAAAATCAACCACCCTAATGGGGTTCTGGAAATTCCATATTTTCGCCTGGAGGATGCTGGTGTATACGAGTGTGTAGCGGAAAACAGCAGAGGACGAAGCGTTGCCAGAGGGCAACTTATATTCCACAGTAAGACTCTTGTAAACCTCTGCTTTCTGTGTCTCTTTTTGAATATTCTTCTCCTTAATCAGTACTATTTGATATTCAACACTCAACTATATTTGTCGCACTTTGCATTTGTTGGAAACACATTTGAAGTGGTTTATTATTTGTTATGTCAAAAGCATCTGAGTTATTTTCTCAGGATGAAATCACTTAATAACCTGAGGATAATCTGGACTTGATTTGTGCTCATTATCATTTCTCCATTGTGATCATCACATTAAAGATCTCCCCCGGCTTTTTGAATATATTTTTCAAATCAACAGCTTGAAGTAGAAAATGAGATTACTCATACATTTGTCAGCATATAGGTCTCCCACCTCCATAGGATCTAAAGGAACTGGCTGTCAAACAGCAAGCTTTGAAATGAATCATTTTTATGTCATGGGAAAGCACCGTCTACATCGCGAAATATTCACAACTGACTTCTATAGGCTGAGAGAACCAGAAGAGTCTCTCCTGCTCCTGTCTGCTGTGTGTGTGTTGAAAGGGAACTGCAAAAATGGATTACTTGTAGGAGTTTTGTTTTCAGTGAGAACTCCTGTATCTGCTGTTTTGCTTCTAAGGATCTAGTTTGATGTCAGTAGTACTGAACATTAATCCTAAATTGCTGCTGACACAAAGCTGTAAGGTAGTGCCAGTTTGCTTGTGTAGTCATACACAAATGCAATTCAAAATGCTATATTTTATCATTCAGAAGGGGATATAAAGTTTTGAAACAGAATTTTAACAGCTATAAACCATTGTAAAAGGATTAAATAACTGTGGAAGAAATTAAAGTGGAAAGTGAAAATATTTAGGACTGAAGGTTTAGTGAAAAGCAGTGGAGAACATAAAACATTTTATCCCGGATTTAGATGTGGTAACAGTCCAGCCATTTACCCTATTGTTGGGAGGATTTGTCCATCTCTGTGATGGAAAGTAAAGCGCTTCTCCATGTTTAATTTGGACTCTGCTGGAAGCCCCTCACATACTGCTACTGTACCTGAGGCTGACAGGGTTTGTTTGGAGTAAGATAGTCAGACATATTTTCTTCTTAAACTGACAATATTTGGTACTTTAGGACACAGTTATCTTTATTTTTTGTTAGACATAGCATCAATAGTTTGCAATTATTATTATTATTATTGTAGAAGTCTTATAAAAGATCATTACACTAGTTGTTAACTGAAAGTGTGTGTAAATAGACATGAGCTCTTTCTAAACTATTACTACAACCCCAAATCAGAAAAAGATGGGACTGTATGTAAAATCAAAATTAAAACTGAAAATAGCAATGTGCAAATCATCTGTATCCTGTATTACACTGAAAATAATGCAGCAGCATATTATTTGATGTGATACCTCATCAATTTTATTCTTTGTTCAAAATAAACACTCACTTCAATTCTGATACTGCAACACATTCCAAAAATGTTGGGATGGCTGCATTTCAGGGCCAATAATGAGGTAAAACAATGAAATGATGATTCCATTTGAAACAGGTGATGCCAACAGGTGACTGCATTATGATTTAGTACAAACATGGCATCCAGGAAAGGCCGAGCCCTTTGGCAGTAAGGATGGGCCAAGGACCGCCAGCTTACCAACATATGTGTCAAAAAATTTGTGAAAAATTTAAAAACTATGTTATTCAAAAAAAAAAAAAAACAGGAAGGGATTTGGATATGTCACCCTCTATGGTGCAGAACAACAATCCCAACTTTTCTGATTTGGGGTTCTACATAATTAAAACAGATTGCTATAAAGAAAAAGGGGGAGTAATAAAAATGATTAATGAACAATATCTTAGAACACCAGATAATGAGGGGACAAGGATTCATGGGTTTGTACTCATTAAACTTGAACTCCATGTTCAGTGAACTGTGTGAAATCCCTGTAGGATCCAGCTGTTTTACACTTTGGATTTGGCTTCTTTACCTTAGTGCTGTAGTATGACATCAGTTTCTATGTCAACATTCTCATATCTGATTGCAGAGCTTGTGTAATATACTGTATATATATTACCGGAGGGTGAGGAAGACACACACCGCCCCATAGGGGTGAGAAGGGAGTGTATATAAAAAATAATAATATATATTCCCCACTCACCCCCCACTTTGGGGAGGTCTTGTATTCCTTCCTTCAAGCTCGGGTCCTCTACCAGAGGCCTGGGAGCTTGAGGGTCCTGCGCAGTATCTTAGCTGTTCCTAGCACTGCACTCTTCTGGACAGAGATCTCAGATGTTGTTCCTGGAATCTGTTGGAGCCACTCTCCCAGTTTGCGGGTCACAGCCCCCAATGTTCCTATTACCATGGGGACCACTTGTGCCTTCACCTTCCACATCTTTTCTAGCTCTTCTTTCAGCCCTTGGTATTTCTCAAGCTTCTCATGTTCCTTCTTCCTGATGTTGCTATCGCTTGGGATTGCTACATCTATCACTACGGTCTTCTTCTTCTGTTTGTCTACCACTACTATGTCCAGTTGGTTGGCCATTACCAGTTTGTCAGTTTGCATCTGGAAGTCCCACAGGATCTTAGCTTGGTCATTCTCAACCACCTTTGGGGGTGTATCCCATTTTGACTTTGGGACTTCCAGCCTGTACTCAGCACAGATGTTTCTGTACACTATGCCAACCACTTGGTTATGGCGTTCCATGAATGCCTTGCCTGCTAGCATCTTGCACCCCGCTGTTATGTGCTAGATTGTCTCAGGGGCATCTTTTTGAGAACTGCAGCCTCAGTTTAAGGAATATATGGAATTTTAGAATCTTGTTTCTTTAGGCTTCACTACTTTTTATTTTTTCTTTCAACCTGGTGATCTCAAGTGTCACTGAACTGTGTCCACTGCACAGTGCACCTGCAGTTCAGTTCCAGGCTTTAGTAAATCAGGAGCTAATTACATGCAGACTGTGAGCACAAAGGGTATGTCATGTATGTAAATCTGACCTGAAGACTGCTAAACCAGTCCAGTGGTCATGTTATGTGTGAACACCTACAGTATGTCCCAAATAAAAAAAAAAAAAACTGCTTTACAGTGTTCCCACAGCTCTTCTCATGAGAAACAATTGATCTGCTATCGCAGGCCATATTTTAGCTGCAAGGCGCATTGTCACAAATTATTTTTTTTGCAAAATATTAAACGCCTTGATTCTTTGGATTTAAATGTTGAGATTTGTTATTACAGTGCAATCAGAAAATTACAGTAAATGCAGTATATTTGCAACACAATTTTGGCATTTTTTGTTAGTAAATATTTATATAAATTTTCCTTTTGTGCAGATGTTGAACATTTACATTGGATCCAGACACTGAAAGATGCTCATATGGTAATAGATGCTAATCTACAATGGGAGTGTAAAGCCGTTAGTAAGCCAAGACCTACATACAGATGGTTAAAGAATGGTCAGCCACTGACAGCAGAGGTAAGATTTCATAAGTAACACCAAGACTGTATTTATTATACATGTTGTACATTCATTGTGATTTTACACACAAAAATGCAGTATTCAAACAAAAAATACTGCAAAAATCTCTTAAAAAAGAAATGTTCACAAGAAACTGAAGGATGAGTAGAACTGTTATCCAACATTAATCAGCTGGCCTGATTTTCAGGGGAGGATCCATGTGGAAGCTGGTAGACTGACCATATCCAGGATTAGTCTGTCGGACTCCGGGATGTATCAGTGTGTGGCAGACAATGAACATGGAGCTGTCTATGCCAGCGCTGAGCTCAAGGTTGTTGGTAAGCAGTTTGTTTGTGCTGTACTATTTACAGTGGCAAGGCAGCTGTATACTGTAGGTATACGGTGTTGTCAGTGGAACGAACGTGCTTCCTGTCTGAATGTAAGTAAATAAATAAAAAGCAGGCTGAACTAGCTCATCACTGAGCAATGGCCTTGCTCTTTCATTTCTGTAATTAGTCTGGCGGTGAAAATACAATTTTCACAATTGCTGGTGATGCACTTGACATTTTGGCTGATACACAGCTGTTGCACCTCCACAAAGCCAGACAGTTGGTCTTAACATGGATTTGTTCTTCAGCCTCCCCACCTGACTTCACCCGGCGGCCCGTGAAGAAGTCCACAGTGGTTCAGAGGGGGGGTGAGGTGGTCCTGGAGTGTCGCCCCCACGCTTCCCCCAGGGCTACAATCACTTGGTTGAGAAGGGGAGAACTCCTGAAGGACGGCAAGAGGTAGGGTATTGTACTGTATGCACTGCCGCTCAAGCCACTGATGGCATCTGTTTGTTATTGTGGTCATGTTTTTTTCTAGGACTCCTTGGTTTTACTGTATGTCTCTGCTAGAGGGGACTTTGGAAGTCAGCATTGCATAAAATGAAAGCCCTGTTTGGGTCAAGAAGGTGTTTTTATACATTTGTATACATGTTGATTTCTGCAGTACTGTCGTTTTGTCTGATACCTTTTAACAAGATCTAGAAAGCCCAATGATACTATTATCACATTGAGATAATTTCTTACAGGAAGGAAAGATAGTATTGGCAGTTCAGTTCAGCATGCCCGTGTCTTACTGGAAATATAAGTGAACATGTCTTTTTCATAAAACACCATCAGAAAGCCCTGTCAGTCACAAGCCATGTAATTAACTTAATAGCATCAATTTTCTCTGAGAGCATTGCCTCCTTGTTCTGTTCAGGCAGCAACTTTTGTCGCTTACAACAACTTCTCACAGGATGAAACTTTAAAGCAAAGAGGGCAGGGATATAGTGAAATCTGGTTTGAGTCCATCTGTCGTAATACACTGCTGCTGCTGAAATTTGTACTTATTGGCCAATTAGCTGCTTCAAAATGAGTAGTTTAAAATTTCTTTAAAGTCATTTCCCTTCTCCACCACCCTTTCAATAGCAATTTTTATTTTTTAAATTTTGTATTTTGTCTTGAATCTATTGACTCAAAGTATTTTGTGTAAAATACATTTAGTATATCACCACATTTTGTTATTCTTAAATAATGCTGACAATTCTGATATAACACTAAAATCCAATCAAAGGCATTATTCATTATGTGAATTAGAAAATACATACAACTGGCTTCTAGAATGCTTATGTCCAGTAGGAGTGGTTAGCTTGTGTATGAATAGACAGCCGTGACTAGGCTGACAAAGCACCAACACAACATAAAAAATGTATGTGATAAAAAGTTTGACATGTTGCGTCTGTAACTGCCGGGGAACAGATCCTGTTAAGAGCTGATCATTGGTTGAACATAATGCTCTCACAGATTTCATGGCAACCCCAGGACCCCTTCTCCCCATAGCAGGCTCCCAAAACAACCAGTTAGGGGTCACTCTAGCAAAAAGAACATGATAATCCCTCACTGGCTTCCCACACAACATGTCCAAATGTGATGACCAATTATTAGACTTTAACCACACTTAACTACCAAATTACACTTTTGCCAAAGCAATATTTAACATAATACATGTAAATTATTATTTACTTTAATAATTTCCAGTTTTTAGCTTTAAACATAAATACCGATAATTTTATAAATGTTGTAATACTAAAGACATTTTCATACTCCTGTTTTTTCCCCTTCCCACTTGTTGCTCAGATTCACATCAATGTATTATTTTTTGACTTGTTATTGTTCCCACATTAGATAACACAAACGTCAAATTCAAAATGTCTTACCTGATTAAAGAATCATCAAATGCCTTACAGGATCAGGTGACACTGAATTATATCGAACTGTTTTCAAGGGGGTATTTCAGTGAAAGAACAAAGGGTCAGTATCTTGTTTAATAACTCAAGGGATCAATTGTTACTTTTCTCATTTACTATGGCTCCTCTATCCACCCACCTGTCTTCTTGTCAGAACTCTAGGACTTAACCCTTCAACCTAAAAATACATTCTCATAAAACTTGAAAAAGGCTCTTTGCTGTCAGTGTCTGCAAAGTTTATATTGGTGACTTACAAAGTTTGTTCCCTGTTATACTTATATTTTGGTGAACACAGCTAGTCCTGTGGTAATTGAACTCCAGACTTGATTTTTCTCAATAATCTGTCTGGAAAATTGAGTTGAGTGTTGAATCTACTGAAGAAAGTTTGTACTGCATTTATGAAATTTGCTCCACTAGAAAAATTGATAAAACCCTTGCTTTAAAAAGCTGTGTCCAGGGCACAGAACGCTGCTGCAATTTCCTCCTTTAATGCACATGGTTTTGATGAATCTTAAGGGTTTGAAGGGGATTCATTAATGTGAGTCCACCATGTGAATGCAGGAATTTAAACTGACAGGACCTGCTGGCTGCAGACCTGAGCAAAGTGCACAATAATAATCTTCTTTGTGAATACAATTTTTGGTCATTTAAATGCATATGTCCGAGGAAATGATCAAAAAAGTAATAATGAAAAAAGACTATCTGGCTTCAGCTAGAGAATGAAAAAAGAGTTCACTTAGTTAATTATCTGACTCAACTAGAAACTGTCCAGTAGCATGAAACAACTGTCCATTCTGTTTGGATGAAACCAGTTAAATGTCTTATTTCAGAACAAATTTCAACAATGTAAATTTTTAAAGTACATTGGATGGAGTATCAAATTTTTGAGTTTAAAACTGTAGATGGCAAAAAAAGATTACAGAAAACAAAGAGAGTTGTGACAGTTCAACTCATTACTGCACGTAACATTGTAGCATCTGTTGACTCTAATGAAGTACTTTTAATTTTCACACTCATTATATGTTGAAAGAGGTGGATAGCTGCCCTCTAGCTTTTTTTTCCTCTCTCACTTTTCTCGTGGACTGTATCTCAAATCAATATGTACAACCATAGACTTTTCATAGACTATCTATAACTCACTGAGCCTGCCTCACCATGTGACCAGCGCAATTGATTAGTTATCAGGTTTTCCATGGGCTGGTCATGAGGAAAGGGAGAGAAATTACACAGGCATTACCCAGGCAGCGCATTTGGACAAGAATAGATATCCACAGCATGGAACGAAGTTTGTCTACAAAGCAGATAGTTCTTTACATTTCTATTTGTTTTGCAGCTCACTGCCCCTCAGGTCATGTTCTCAGTGCGCCTCCATCATTCAGTATTTGATATTTTTGTCAATAAATCAGCGCAAAGCACCCTGTGTCAGACATGCTTTCTAGGTCTCAACTCAGCCTGAGTGAATACATATTTATTCTTGGGAGTCAATATGAAATTGTTTGATTTTTGAGCTGGCTTGCTCGCAGCATTTCAGTTTGATTTACTGAATCCAAAGGTCACAGCACAAGTGCATTATCTGCCTCATTTATGCATGTTTATGATTACCGGCTTGCCAACTTGTCTCTTCATAACTAGGGTACCAAAAAACTGTTCCAGGGTAGGAGATGAAGTTTTACAGACAAGGGCAACGTGGATGTGGGGTATTCCTTGCTATCTTTTCACAGTCCTTTTCTTTTTTTCTTCCTAAAGAGAGAGCTCTCACTGTACGATCATGATAGTCCAGATGACAAAACATGTGCGTTTATAAAAATATTGATAAACTCATCTGAGTTGCCTCAGGCTACATACAGGCTGCCCTACCTTACTGGTGAAGGTTAATAAGGCTGTATACAACCTGAAAGGAACATTTGGAGACACTACTCGGGGCTGAGAAGGAGATATACTAAAATATTTTTAATGTATAGTTAAATATTTACAGTATAATTAAATATTGTCCTTAAAAACACAACAGAACTGAACGTTAGTTAGATGGGGCAGTAAAGGACAGTACTATGTGTATCAGAAAGTCTAATAAAAATCATTTTAAGTCAGGTTAGTGCATTATCAATGAATTGCATTTATACTGTAAATATAGTAGGGTTTTTACTGTATATTGTATACATGTTTTTGTGTACTGCCTCCTCTGCTTCTGAAACCAAATCTACACCATTGATTATAAAAAGAAAATTGACTTTAAGTCACTGTATGCATCTTACGACAAAGGGAAACAGAGAGTAGCTCGTGAATGTAAGTCGCAAGCTGTTACACGTGCACAATAAGGTCAGCATTCGTCTGTGTAATTGTCAGTTTAGTTTCTTTCTAGAGACTCCCAGTTTATTTCTCCCCTGAGAACAGTCTGTCATTTTTTTTTTTTTTTTACGTGAGATGCTCTCCATGTTATTACTTTTCAGAAATGGCTTATAGTGTGTTGATACTATCTCCACGTGTTCTGGAGTGATAAGCCTTCAAGTAAAGATCTCGTTCATACTGCCGCTCTCCACTGCTGCTCTCCTTTTCCTATCACCGTTCTGCCTGGCCCCGGCGGTCTGTTGTATATCCAATTAATATCTGCATTTTAGCTATTGCGCTATCAGTGCTCTGCTGACCCTGACTGCACATCTGTTCTGCTTTAGCTAAGATAGCTCTTATCTTCTGAGGTTCTGGAGCCTTCATTCAAAATGAGGAAACACAATTTCAAATGGCTTGAAAAATGAGACAGGGTACAACCCAGTTCCCTTATTTGACTGTTCCCGACTCCTCAAGCCACGCTTGATTAGGAATTGCTCTAAGGAAATTCAAGCAAGGAACCATGAGACCATCCTTCGCTGAAGTCTTTTACCGGTCTGACACACCACTGTATTGGACATCTGTTAGTAGTTGGACGCTGCAGCTGATCAGACTGAATTGATGCTCTATCACAACATCAATACAATTTAATAATGAAGTAGACAGACAAAGGGCAGAGCCAACTTGAATGCTGATAATTATCTATGTCTCTGTTACTTTCCATAAATCATATGCAGAGACTAAAACCACAAATAGATTTTGTGTGTTCTCTGTTGCATCTGTGAATCCAGAACATGGTTTAGCTTGTTGGTCTGTGCCATAGATCTTCATTGTTGTCCAATAGCTATAAAAACACACCAGTGGGTCACATCATTGCACTAGATGGTGTTTCTTCCATACAAACAATGGAAAGTTAGTCTTACTTCAAAAAAGAGCTCCAAAGGCTTAAAACAGCTCTTCACTCTTTACAGTCCCTGAAGTAAGAAAGCATCAGCTGTGCATAGTCTGTATTCTGCTTCCACTGCTCTGCTAGCTTCCTGTGTTGTTAGGTGTAGCATAGGCAATAAACACACTTGTCTACCATTTTTTCCAGATAGGCTGAAAATCCCTGTGTGTTGGGGAGATAATTACAGTTTGATATGATATATTCAGGTATGCAGTTTACACTCTGTCTAAAACATTTGGACAAATCCACAAAACACTGTAAACCACAGTAATCATAACCCTGATCATTTATTCATTAATTTACAAACAGATTATTAGTAAATGCAGATGCATATACTTACTATATTTTAATAAATGAAATATTTCACACTGGTTTCACTGATCTCATCACGTCTCATGTTTACAAAGAGCAGGTTTTAGTGCAGATGTTTGTCCAACAGTTAAAGCATATTCAAATAAGAAAGAAAGAAACATCACAGTACCAATGTGCTAAGTGTGTGCCTGTACTCCTACAGTGTGTATACAGGCAAATATAAACTCCAAATTGAGAACAGTCACCACATAATTCTACAGTCTGACTGACAGTTGATCCAGCTGAACCATCAGAAACATAGTGGTTCAGAGGAAGAGTTGTCTCAGTTCTCTTAAAAGATCCTTGTTCCCTCTCTTTGCATCTTCAGTGGGAGACTAAGATGTGAGGGAAAGACACAAGCAAGGGAAATGTGGATGCAATTAAGGGAAATGAGATATCTCATCTAAGAATGAGTTAATTTGATTCCTGTAATCACTTTTTAATTAAATTAACAACCAACGAATTGCACTGAAAAGCAAATGAGAGTTGTGAACTCATAATGGGCTGTTTCAGTGTTGTCACTCTCTTCAGACAGACTATCACAGAGGACGGGACTCTGCGTATCACCAACATCTCCAAATCCGATGGAGGCAGTTACACATGTGTGGCCAGAAACCAGTTCGGAACATCCAGCAGCACAGGAACACTGGTGGTGAAAGGTATTTCTGTTTCCGTCACTGGTTCCCACTACTGAACCTTTTAAACTTTAGACTTTTTTTAAGGGGAAAAAATACTAGCTCAAGCATGAAATTGATAATGAAATATATAGCAGTTTTATGTTCCTGGCTGTTTGACAGACGTATAAGTCATCCATGGTTTTGTCAGCTGTGAGTTATTGTTCATGTAGCAGAATGGGGCAAACCACCAACATCTCTGGCTGTGAGTGAAGATTGTTTTTGTCACCAACATTTAATTTAAAGGGAGCTGCTGTAACATTTTCAGATTTGTGTCTTGGGAGAGAGAGGTTTTTTTTTTTTTTTTTTTTTCTCTTTGTTAGGCTTTTCCTGTGCTTAATTATTCATTACTGAGTTATGGAAGGCATTCACTTTCTAAGTGATGTTATTTAAGGTCACTTAACTACAATGATGGAGCAGAATCGGTCTCACTATTCTGGGCAAATTAAGCTGTAGTACCTTTTTCACATTGCTGAATTTTATAAAGATCCAGTGCTACTTACAGTAACAAGTGAGTTTCCTCCCACTATTCTGTAGAGCCCACCAGGATCATAGTTCCACCCATGAGTTTGGATGCCACGGTGGGGCAGAGCCTTGTGCTGCCATGTGAGGTGTCCAGTGATTCGTCCCTGAGCCCCATCTTCAAGTGGTTTTTCAATGGCAAAGCCATTGATTTCAGCAGGCAGGAGCACTTTGAAATGATTGGAGGGGTATGTATAATGTGGGTCAACGCTTTTGCTTGGTGATTTTAGGCGAAGACAATCAGTGCCAAGGATCTGACCTATATCCATTTTTAAAAGTTCTAGCTGTTGTTGAAGCTTTTGGGAGCAGCACTATTATACCAGTTTATGCCCATGATAGTCTGTGATATTCATATAAAAACTCAAAAGGTTGATTCAGTGTGTATTGAATTTCTCTCACCATCAAATTTCTTTTCAATCAAATTCCATATGAAAAATCTATGTACTTGATGGTGACAGGCACTGCAATACTACCACAACTATATAGTGCTAGAGAAACATTGGGAAACGTTATTAATGGTACAATATAGGCTGTCTTTTAGTAGTGGAAAATAACTAGGTACAGTTACTAAAGTACTGTACTTAAGAACAACTTTGAGATATTTGTACTTTACCGGAGTAGTTACATTTTTTGCTGCTTCATGCTTCAACTTCACTAATTGGTTTAAGGAAAAAATGTACTTTTTACTCTACTACATTTGTGTGATAACTTTAGTTGCTAGTAACTTTTCAGAATCAGTTTTTAAAAAATACAATATTATCATTGCCTATATCGATCTCCGGTGGAAAAGTCACAAACTCACAAACCACCAAGCACTAATTAAAATTATAAGCATATACATTAGTTAAAACTAGCCCCACCTTTTCATTAATGTGAGGTACATAATAATGCATCGATAATTGTAACCCAATGTATTGTATTAATGCAATTCCACATAATGAGTACTTTTCCTTTTAGTACTTTAAGTATGTTTTGATGCTTTAATAATTTTGTACTTTTACTTAAGTAACATTTTAAATACAAGACTTTTACTTAAGTAAATAATCTGAGTACTTCTTCCACCACTGGTGTCTTCCCTGTAGCCTAGCAGAAAAACAGATGTATGAAATCTTATAACATAAAAATTATCATTTAAAAAACAGCTGTTTGACAATTCTACATAAGAACATGTCAACTCACTGCACCCATCTGTCGGTTGCCAAGAACAGTAATAGCATGTACCTCCCTATAAATCCACTGTGTTGTTCTTACACAACTGTTTGTGTAACTTATAACCAAACAAGAGGCATCATGTTAGAGGTCTCACATCATAGGGAATGTGTATATTTGCCTTGTGACAAACTTTCTGGAGAGTTAAGAAGATGAATACCGCTCTTATGTAATGTCAGTAACACAGAAGGAAAAGAAGCAGCCAGCCGGGTTCTGCCCACAGGTAATAGTCCACCTACCAGCACCTCTAAAGCTCACTAATTAACATGTTATATCTTGTTTAATGTGTACAAAACCAGAGTGGAAAAACATCCGTGCCCTGAAGAGAGGTTTCATGTCAGACTATTTGTTGGCTCTGAGCAGATGTTCCACTACCATTGGAGACTCCAGTTTTTATATGCATTAAATAAACAAGATATAATGTGTTAATTAGTGAGCTTTAGAGGTACTGGAAGGCCTCCATTCTTTACGCTAAGCAGCACTAACTGCCTCCTGTTTCTATACCGTGCACATAACTGTGACACGTTAGAGTGGTATTAACCTACTGCTGTAGATATACATCAGCCTGATTGTAAGAGAACATAAACACAACAGGGGAATGCTTGTTTTGGGGTGGGGTTTGCCTTTAAGGCCTTGTGTCAGAAACCATGTACACTTAATTCAGAGATGCCAGCAGATGTTGGTGTGTGTGTCGCGTCTGAGGGGAAAACCCGTAAACAGGGATGACATTTCTCCAGCCTGGAGATGATCTCACTGCATGAGCAAATCAATCAATTTCTCACTGAACAAAGGAGCCTAAATTATTGTGATTACAAGATTTATGCTCCCTCTGGATGAGCGCACCAGGCCTGCTGAAGTCGCTGTGCAACACTGACATTTTCACAGTGAAAATAATCACAACAGATGTTTAACTTGCTTTCACCTTTTACACAAAGGGACTGATTTCTGAAAAGCTATGTTTTGCTGAGAAAAAAATGTGTGTGTACACAAGGCAGTAATGTGCTAAAGGCAACTCTCAAAACTCTTGCTAGAGATAGTAATGTGAGCTTTAAAGTTTAAGTATGAACACAGCAAACACTGATCCAAAGGGGGGAAAACTGTTTCAGAACAGGACTCTTGTTCCGCCTTCATTAGAATGTAAAACTGAATTAATATGTTTCTTCGTGTCATCTTTTTTACTAGTACTGTGGTGAATTCTCCCAAGCTTCTTAAGACTCAATGAGAAATTCAGTGTGTTCCAAGGATTTTCCATGTTGTTTGTTTTTCTTCCTTGCTAAAACTCATATGTCTTTGTCATTAGGGATTTGTAGGTGACCTGATGGTGAGGAGTATCCAGCTGAAGCATTCTGGAAAGTATGTGTGTATGGTGCAAACTGAAGTTGACACGGTTTCAGCCGGAGCAGACTTAATTGTCAGAGGTATGCCTGTTCTGCTTACTTATGCCGCTCGTCAGCATTTATCGCTCTCTGTGGAAATTTTACATTTCTTGTTTTATGGGGTAGTGTGTGATTATGACACACATAACTCCACTGCTTTCAGATAAGAGCTGTGTCACCAAGATGTTAGTTTTCCTTTTTGAACTTTTTGAAGTTAAAGAATGATTTAGATTTTTTTGGGCTCCAAAATCATTACACTGAACTTTTCGTGACACAGGAAAGTTACCTCAGAAGCCTCAGGGCTAAATAAAAGAACAGAGACCAGAGATCAGAGCTTCACGAAAATAAAATCCGTTACTTTAGTAACTTTCAAAATAAATTCAACACCTTATACTCAGTGCATGGCATCTTTGATGTTGAAATGCAAGTATCTTATATGACC